GACGATGGTGGTCATTGTTGGCCAGTACTACGGTGGGGGGTTGGCCAGTCATGCCTGAGGGGCAAGTGACCTGGTTTTTGCCGCCCAAACAGTGATCTCATGGGGTATGAAACCCCACTGTTTTTGTTGAGTTCGTTCGACTAATAAATATCCTTCTACTGCCTATTCTTCCAACTGCTTCCGGATCAGCAAGGTGTGTTTTGCGTCGATTGCCTCGAAAGAATTTGACGAAAACACGAAGTGGCCAACCCGACCCCAAGCCTGAGCTTAAACGTGAGAAAAGATTTTGCCATGTAAGGTGGCACCACGCCACCAGTGTCATAGGAAGGGAAGGTTGGTTGGGTTGATAATTTTTCGCGAATCTATTCCATGAAGTCTAACGCCCCACCCTATGCTATTGCACAGCTAAACTCCTTTAGTAAAAGAAAACACTAACAAAAATAACAACATAGGAGATCATAGGGCGCAGTTTGCCGAGGGGGCATTTTGCACTTCCGTTGCTTCACTAGTTCTGGTTTACAAGTCTCACTCTGGTGAAACCTGTGAACTCTTGTGAAGCTGGAGCAAGCTCGTCAAGCCATCATGGTAAAACCTGTCAACTCGAGAAGAGGCTGTCTAGATAGGTCGACACGTCGATGGGAAGTAGCGAAAGTGCAAAATGCCCCCCCCCCCCGTCGTAGAACAGCGCCGATCATAGTACTACTTACATTGGAATGGAGCCAGAATTGATAGATAACAATGAGGTAGCGGTGAACGATGAACATATTTGGTGGTAGGAGCAAAGCTTGTGGCAAGTCGACAAACATCATTCCAAAGTCCTAAACAGGAATAGAAGTAGTAGAACCACTAGCCTTAGTAGATAGCAGAAGTTAACATCGTCGCAGGCGGCGATGTCAGGAGGCGTGGAGGGAGGATCCCGTGGTGAACGCTGCGGGGAGAGCTCGTTCCGATAGTGACACTCCGCCGGATTGCGGCTATCTCAACTCTATCCTGTTTTCGAGTAATCAAAATAAAAAACCTGCACGGCTGACATGCGTAGAGCGACGCCAAGATTGTAGTACTCGGAAGAATGATGCATTTGATGAAAGGACCAGAATATACCAGCTTCTGAAAGAGTAGCGAACATATCACGAAAAGAGTATCACTTGACGCAGTTCGCAGGGGCGTTTCGCACTTTTCCATTCATGTAGATCTCTGTGGAACTTCGTCATCGACCCGCATTATAGGAAGCGGATAGGGTGCAGAACGCGCCAGCCCGATCAGCTCCTCTAGCCCAGTTCTCGGCCTTTGCACCCATTCTCTCACGTTCACCACTTATACGGCTAGGGTCTATTTAGCGAATGATTGTACATTTGGCCTTCAGAGATTGCCTCTTTTCAACGAACCGATCAATGGGCTAGGAGGAGGCAGTTTCGACGACGGAGGGGGGAGGATTTCCAGACATTTGCTATCCGTACACATAGATGTGATTGACGTACCATTTAGACAGCCTCTTCTCGAATTGACGGGTTTTACAATGACAGCCGGCAAGGAAAAGGGCACTGCATCGTGATGTGTGGAATGGCGGTGTCAATAAATCCCCTGAATTTTCTCATCTGGTGCGATCTCTCCTAAGCTTCTGAAATTTTCGCTTTTCGCTCCATTTTTTCTTCCAGGTCGAAAGAGCTTCCAGTTTTTCCCGAACAGAGATGGGGCAGGAAGTGATGGTATGACAGTGATCACCACCTGCCCGTCGCTGGTTCAAATCCCGGGTCGCTCGTCTATCGGGCGAAGCGGTTGTGAATCCTTTTCTACTTAGACCGTCAAGTCAGGGAGGGGGAATCTTCTGACACCTCCTTTCACATAGCGAGCTCCGCTGCGCCCTTGTCCCACAGTGGTAATGTACGGCTTTCTGAAGGAATTCTCGCCGTTGATGAACTTCCAAGGGCGAATATCTTCGGCTGCGTGTTTTCGTGATAGACAAGTGCAATGTGCTTCTTTCAATCCTGAATACGATAATCTTACCATGTATAGCTCGATGACCGAGGTAGAAGGTGAAATCCTGTACGAAAAAGCACAGTATCCATACAAATGCTGAGTCATTTGGCAAGTCTATAAGATGCAGTTTGTCGTACAGTATGGGATACAACGTCATCGAAATAAAGCGACCACCAATTCTGAATTGGATTTACAAAACAAAAATCAATCATCTTGTGATTCAGTCAAGCTTGGAAAAAGGTCAGGAGCTCTAGCACTTGGTAGGCGCACTTTCCGCTCTCTTCAGTACTGTTTATGATCACTTGGTGTGGGAATCCACGCTACCCTGTTGAGTGCGATTGGAGTCTTGTCGCGTCAAAACCGTAGACAAAAGCTTCTGCTATCGCACTGTTTGGCGCAGTTTGTCGACGGGGGGGGGGGGGGGCATTTTGCTTTCCATAGATGTGTCGACCCATCTAGGCAGCCGTTTCTCGAGTTGACACGTTTTAGGATAGTGGCTAGACGATCTTACTTCAGCTTCACAAGTCAGAGTTAGATTTGTAAAACTAGGGAAGGCAATGAACACAGAATTGCCCCCCCCCCGTCGGCAACAGGCTCCGCAATGTTTTATACGTTACAGGTCTGCGCAAGTGCATCGGTAAGCCGATGAAACACAAAATTGTCCCCGGCCAAATTGCTGGGGCTGCTGACACGATTAAGGGACGAGGACAAGAACAGAGAGCAAATGAAAGTGGAAAGAAACTGTTGGAAATAGGAAAGGGACATGAAGGGATAGAGGAAAGGGGTATGGATAGAAAGTAATCAGACAGCAATCTGAACAACAGGGAGGAGGAAAAGGGTGGAGAACTAGCTGCACTGTGAGGAAAATTTTACAGCCTATTCGAGAAAGTGAAGAGCACATTATAGGTGCTGGCATTACGTGATAGAAGAAATTCGGCTCTATGAAAAGTACACCAGTATAGCAACTTTTAGGGTTCATCACAAGATTTTCTGTGGTCCGTTCAAACATGCCATCAGGCTTTACTCGGCAGTAAGCGAGCGCCAATAAATCCGCATTTACCATCTCTAATCGCTGGACGTTAAACAGCTATATGTGTTTCTGTCGAGTATCAAAACTTCTAGTATAAGTAGTACGAACATCCATGTCGATGCCTGGAATGAAAGCATGGTTATTCTCCCACCTGAAAAGCTTGCATGCTTTTGGCGTGCAGCGTGTAATCACACAAGCATGGCACCTTAGGCGCTAACTCTGCCAAAAGCTATCAGCGGAGTCCGAGAAAATAAAGCAACGCTTACTAGTTTTGTTTTGTCTGGCGACGTTGGGGATGCGCGGAGGGCTGGGTTCAAGAGCAACTACAGATACCACAAACCCAGCGATTTAGCGATTGACGCAGCCGATCTATTACGCATTAGTTTTTGTCTTTATGCGAATAATACGTTCGAACAGACTAAAGGTATTTTACATGGTGGCATTTCTACGCTATTGACAGCCTTAGGCTGCGTTTATACTTTGCAGCAGCGTAGCGTAGCGCTTCCAGCGTACGCCAGCGGCAGTGCCGAAGAGAGGATGCATATCGATCTAGCTTCACCAGCGTCACCAGCGGCACGCTGGCGTAGCGAGGGCACGGGAAGCATAGCTATCGATCTAGCTTCACCAGCGTTTCTCGAGCGTTTCTCCAGCGGCACCAGCGTTTTGCTAGCGCTTGCAGCGGCAGGGAGTAGAGACTATGTGGCCGTGAGAGACGCAGAAGCGATGTGCATTGTAGAGACTAAGGGCGAGTGAGAGACGCGCAATCGATGTGTTTTGTACCCTCCAGCTCTCCCATAGTCTCTACTCCCCTGCAAACGCTAGCAAAACGCTGGTGAAACGCTGGAGAAACGCTGGCGTACGCTAGCGTGCCGCTAGCGTACGCCAGCGTGCCGCTGGTGACGCTGGTGAAGCTAGATCGATATGCATCCTCTCTTCGGCACTGCCGCTGGCGTACGCTGGAAGCGCTACGCTACGCTACGCTGCCGCAAAGTATAAACGCAGCCTTACGTTCTTAGTCTGTTACTGCAGTACTGTTATGCAAAATCCAATCCAAAAAGTTCAGTAATAGTCTCATTCCATATAGATATACAAATGATTTGCTCGTTTTATACGACTATGGTGATCGCGATGTGTAGGAACAACTTTTGAAGTCCATAAAAACACCCTTTGATTGAAAAATTTCACAAAACTGAAGTTTTCAGCAGTTATATAGATCTAACGATCATATAGTATATATAATGAAACAGATGACCCCGACGACTCAGTTCGGCCACGTGGGGGGGGGGAGCATTTTGCACTTTCACTGCACGACTCCCAACAACGACCAGGTACGACACCCCTCCCCCATGTGTTTCGCACAACGATGCTGTACCCTGTATACACAATGCTCCTTTATATGCACTGTTGTGCGTAACATAAAACACTAATGACTGGGTGGAAGTAAATGAAAGTGTGGGAGCATGTTGCCACTCGCCTAAGGGATATGCACAGGAAGCTAGACTTTTCTCGGTGGAAGAAGAGCTTGAATAAAGTGCCAAATATGGCCGACCGCGCAAATCGAGGCAGTCTATGGGTATAAAAAATTTTTTCTCAATCAACGAGTAGCTGCAAAGAACTGTGGTAGTATCCTTCGATACATCATGTCCCGAAGAGAGCATCTGGATGACTTCACTCGAGGAAGGATCATAGGGAAACTCGAAGAAGGTCGAACCATGACGAGTGTAGCCCAGGAGTTCGGTATCGCTCACAGCGTTGTTTCACGTGCATGGAGAGCGTTCCGAACCTTACTGCTGCCCGAAGACGAGGAGGTGGCCGACCAAGGACAACTACACCAAGGGACGACCGCTACATTGTGCAGCAGGCAAGAAGAGATCCTCGTCAGTCGGCTTCGGCTATTGCAACGACGTTTAACAGGACTCTAGGGCAAGCCATCTCACGCACTACAGTGGCAAGACGACTGCATGGTGGTGGTCTCTTCGCCCGACGACCGTTACGTTGTGTTCCTTTGACCCCCGCGCATCGGCGAGACCGTTTACGGTGGTGCCAGGAGCATGGCGAATGGACCGATGAGGAATGGAGCCGTGTGCTCTTTTCGGATGAGAGCAGGTTCAGTCTGAGCAGTGATTCTGGACGCACCCTCATATGGCGAGAGGTGGGAACACGCAACTCCCCCGGAAACATTGTCGAACGTGATCGTACTGGTGGTCGAGGTGTTATGGTATGGGGAGGCATCATGTTGCATGGCCGTACTGACCTCCAGATTTTTGAGCATGGAACCCTCACCAGTCAGCGTTACTGCGACGAGGTTCTCCTACATCATGTCCGTCTTTTCAGAGCTGCAATCGGCCCTGACTTCATTTTCATGGATGACAATGCGCGACCGCATCGAACAGCACAGGTGGAGGAGCTTCTAGAACGAGAGGATATCCGGCGAATGGAGTGGCCCGCCCGTTCCCCCGACCTAAATCCCATCGAGCACGTGTGGGATGCACTGGGTAGACGCATTGCAGCACGACCAAATGCACCAATGACGATCCAGCAATTGTCAAATGCACTGATTGAGGAGTGGAATGCCCTGCCCCAGGAACTCATTACCAACCTCGTGGAGAGTATGGGATCGCGGTGCAGAGCATGTATTGCTGTCCGTGGTGATCACACACCCTATTAGGATCCGTGTAACTTCTTTTGTAGTACCAGGATAAATCGTGAAGACTTATGTGTAATCGACATGGTTGAATAAAAATGTCATAACAATTCGTCTTATTCCGAGTTTCTGTCAGTTGCTTTCTGTACAATATCGTTAAGGTCTCTTGATATGATATGAATTTCATCGAGCTATGTTGTCTGGCAGAGGCACAGTGATCGAAAGTTGCTTTCGTCCCTAAGTTTTGCACACCATTGTAGTTGTAGCCTAATAGGTTTTGAGTATTTTACTACTCGTGTTTGTTAGACGCTTGCACTATATCCTTCATAGAATTTCGCATGAGCGCCAACCTTACAACTTCTCTTATTTTTTTATCTTTTTCGCCCCCTTTCCCGATGTAGGCCTTGTCCTTTTCGTCAACCCTACCTCAATGATGAACCACGGGTTGACGGAATGACGACGGTTTTCCTGCGAAGCGGACTACCTGTGTTTTCGGGAGGTTTTTTCTCTCTAATTATTTATCATTTTTAATTGGCGCGGTCCCAACAGGTTTCCTTCAACTGTTGAAGAAAGCAGTGACTTCAATTAGTAGGAGACGAGATGGTGCCACCGCAAACCCAGTTCCTCCTGACACGCCGCAGTAACCTCAGGGAACGAGATTCTACTCCTACAATATGCAACAAATCGCTTCGAAAACGTGCCCTACCCGAGAAAAGCCGTCTTGGCTGTGTGAGGCTACTGTAGATGGTGTTAGCGAATTCCCTGATAAACTGATTACTCACCGGATCTATGAAAAAATTTGGTATGTCGTCCACATTAGTATAAATAGTTTCATTAGGTGTCACCATGTAGATAAGATAGCGTAAATTGTACGGATTCAAATCCGACAAAATTTTGGCAACTTGCCTATCATCGATAAGAAAAGTGTGGCTCATCTGAAAAGAACAAAGAGTAGAATGGGGCACATCACGCATAATATGTGAACACCTCTCGCAAGATTATAAAAAAACGTTAAAATTCATCGATTATTTTGGCGTGGACTGCGCATTCTATACCAAGGGGACACTATTTGGCCCAGGTTGTGCACTAGGTCGTGTTTCATGACCCTTACACCACTCATAATCCACAATACAGAACCACTATAGCTTCAGTATGTCTTTATTCTAGGGGATTCAGCGGCGCTCATAGCCTTCGCAAAGGAGTTGAGGGAGGAGGAGTTCACGATCGTGTCTCACCTGCAAGTCCTCTACATTTTTACCAAGCACCATGTGAACTCCTGTCAATCTTGGCAACGGTACTAGCATGGGAGGAAAGCCATTTCCCCGATTTTTCCATATCTCAGCCAGTCATTTTGATAAGTTTAACAGGAGTTTACAGGCTGTTTGGCAGGTAATAACAAGAGTTACAAGTATTGACTTACAGTTTACAGGTTTTGGTATGCTGACAAGCTCTTACAGTTGTACCCCCCCCCCTCCAAGTCATTGGGGCGAGATACAAGAAATTGGAATTCTAGAATAGCAGCCATGACGTTTCCGACAAAAACAGTACTCTTTACATTGCGGTGCGAAATTAATTACTATGCAACATAAAAAGCATAAAAAAACCAAGAAGTCGGAATTATCGATTATTTCTCCTGGTATGAACTACACTCTGTACCCAAGAGACACAATTTGGCCTGAAATGAACGCTGGCCTTTTGTTCAGACTACTTATACAAATCAGGCCTAAAATGAGCGCCGACCTTTTGTTCGGACTACTTAAATGAATCATAGTCCATAATACACAATCGTATGCTAAATGTGTTCCCTCCAACAGATTAAATGGCGGTAATAACCTTAGTCCCACCCCAGGCTTTCATGATCGTGTCTTACCCTGTAATTCTTGTAAAGTCCTATCAAGTACCTTGTGAACTCCTGTCAAGCTTGGCTAAATGCTCTAGCGTTATTGGAACGCCATTCCCAATTTTTCCAAATCTCAACCAGTCATTTTGACAAGTTTGACAGGAGTTCACAGGGTGCTTGACAGGTAATAACAAGACTTACAGGGTGTTGACAAGGCTGCCCAGTACTGACATGTATGCAGTTTATAGGATTTGGTATGCTGACAAGTCCTTACAGGTGTACCCCCCCCCCCGCCTCATTGCAAGTCATTGCAGCCGGTATTCAAAGACTGATTTCTGGAACAGCAGTCATGACATTTCCGATTAGAGCTGTGCTGTTTACAATGCGGTGTGAGAGTAATTACAATGAAACTGGTTGGGGGTTTAATGACGATTTCGTGTCAAATAAATTGGTACACTCGAATCGCCGTTTACTAGAGTGGCAATACAATAGTCTTGATTGCAATAAGTTGTGAGGGGTCGCGCTACATGCAGGCATGCGACGTACATCGTACGGGCGTACATAGTACCTATAACACAGAAAATTCATAAAACTCATGAAGTGAACCACGTAACTCCTAGCCAGAAATACGACCCCCCTCCCAACAACGACCAAATACGACCCCCCTCCAAAACGTCCGCAAAGCGAGAAAAATCAACTATAAAAATAAATTTTTCCCAGCCCAAATACGACCCCCCCTTTTGGCGGCCAAATACGACCCCCCCCATAGGGAATCCCCATCGAACGCTGTGCCCTGGAAGGAGGTCGGCGTGTGGCAGCAGCAGCGTTTGGGTTTCGGGGCAGCGGCCAGCTCTGTGTTCGTCGAGCGCTGCGGCTTTCGGAGGTCCAACGAGTGGTAGAGGAGTGGCTAGCGCCCCTTCAAAACCTACGCGCTGCTCACACGCCCTAATTGACTTCAGCGTTCTTCACCGTATATATTAGTTGTCCGGAAAGTTCTCGAGCGTTTTGGGATTGTCCACTTAAACTGGTATCGTGAACTTTTTCAAAACTCCATCGGATTTATCGCAATATAGCACGCATTCGGATCAGCAACTTCTGCGAATGTGAACAAAAGTTCAAGAAATCATCGAAAGAAAAAAAATAGGGTGGTCGATGATCACGAAATCTACGAAGGTCTTTTTTGCCTGGTCCTAATTGATGAAGTATTTTTCAGCAAGGAAGTTCTGGAAATGTTTGAAAAGGTGATAGTCGGTTGGTGAAAGGACTGGAGAATATGGTGAGTGTGTAAGAAACTTCAACGCGCCAACTCGTCTTGTTCAATTTTAATGGAGGAGTGATTTGTGAAACGTGTGGCGTGTGTCATGCAAAGGTAAGGTCGGCCTTTGCTTTTGCATACGTGGTTTGGCGGGCATCTGACAACAATTTTAGGGTACATTTCGTCGATTTCTTCACAGTAGGGTTCTGCTGTGATGGTTTGGCCTGGTGATAAAAAGTTATAGTGGATCACACCAGCCGATGACCACCAAGCCGTGACCAGAATCTTTTTTCGTGAGGGTTCGGCTTTGAAAATTACCTCGGTGGTTCGTCGAAATCCAACCACTGTCCGGAGCGTCTCCTGTTATCATACATAATAACAGGAGACGCTCCGGACAGTGGTTGGATTCCGACGAACCACCGGGGGTAATTTTCAAAGCCGAACTCTCACCACCGAGGTATCATACATTCACAGGAGGTGAAACTCGCGGGCCAAAACAGGTGTCTTCTTGGCTGCGCAAAGCAGTGCGAAGGGAACCTCGGACGTGGCCGATTCCTGCCGGGTCAGCTCGCATTGTGGGCACCTAATTGTCGAACGTTTTTTATCACCTTCGCAATGCGTTTCGGCAAACAATCTCACAGCGTGGGATTTGCCAAGGCCTAGCTCTTCTGCTATCTCTCTAACTGTTTTGGATGGGTCAGCCTTCCAAAATCCCCCTAAAATCCTCGTCAGATATTGCTTTAGGTCGACCGCTATGAGGTTCATCTTCAAGGCTGAAATCTCCAGAACGAAATTTGTTGAACCATTGCCGCACAGTGCTTTCTCTAGCACTATTGGGCCCCACACCTGGTTAATTTGTTGAGCTGTTTCGATTGGTGCATTGCAATTTATAGTCGAAGAAAAAATCGTCCGAAGTGCTCTTTTCACATGCTTGAAAAAAAACCTTGAAAAAAGGGGTTATCAAGCAATGGTGAAAAGGGCAATTATACCATCAGATAGCGCAAGAAATTCTCTACAGGATGTGCTACTGAGAAGCAAGGCAGAATGAGTTTTTAATCAGCAGTGAATGTACAAAAATAGGTGCACAAAACGCTGAGAACTTTCCGGACAACCTAATATATGGCACGTTCTGGCGTTGAAGAGTATTTCCGCAGAATACGACCCCCCCCTACAGGTTTTCTCCCACAAAAGTTTGGATGGGGTAGACACCTTCGATCGACTGTCAGGAAAAGTAATTTTGAAGCGCCGATGACTGTAGAGACTGAGGCATTTACTCCAGAAACCGCACACAGGGTACTAGTGGTACACAGGAGCGTAAAATGAAAAAACGGCAATCAAAAAAATTTCTGCCCACTTCCCCCCTTAATCCATCGACCATGCACGACCCCCACCCCACCCCTCATTAAGTGTCTGCAAGGTAGGACGTGCTGACTATAGGAATGTGACAAGACAATTTTAAAGACCGCGCTGGTAGGTGCTGCGAGCTATGCCACGCCCATAACGGACGAGATTGTTTCCAGGCCTCTTGGAGTTGAGTGTCGAAGGGACGGAAAAGTCCTATATCGCCCACTGTGGGATCTTGCTTCCGCTTGAATTTAAACGAGTTTCGCATGACTCTAGAATTTGCCGCGCATCGTCGCACCATACGCCGCGCGCGACGAACGCGACAAAACAGGTTCTTTTGTCCATGGTTGTAATGCATGCATAAGATGGCACGAAGAGGTTTTCACATCTCGGAAATACTAAGCATAGTCTTAAATATTTACGATGTCGCAATATGCATGAAATCCTCTGCTTTGTTTGGCGGGCTAAGGTAGACAAAGAAAACGTCGCGCTTGCCATATCATGATTTGCCATCACGTCGCACGACGAGGCGGCAAATTATGATTGTCTTGACCGTCTTTCTGGGCGCTTGCGTATGTAATGGGTAGAGCCGCATGCGACTCATGTCAGCTCAAAACATAATAGCTGATGTGGACGAGCGATTTGGAGCAGAAGCTGCAATGCAGAGGGCCGATGGGATGGCAATTACTGCCAGTCCGCCCCAAAAGTAATAAATAAAGTTGCCATTCACCGTCTTACCTGGTGATGAGTGACGATAACACGGTAGACATACGCCCACCCAAACTCCAAATGTTAATTTGGTTGTAAAGTGTAGCGCTATACCACAAAACCCATGTGATACGCAGTCTTCTAAAAAAATTCTGGTTAGTTCCCGATCTTGAGTGTAACACTGCCATCATGCCCGAGGGGTAAAAAATTAAAATGATTTGAACTAATGTGATCTGCTGTTCATTTGAGCGGAACCAACGTTCC